GCCCCCCCCCCCCCATTCTGAGGAGGGAGCCCTTAAATGGAATATCTGGTGGGGCATAGTGTGGCCCCTCCCGTCTCGTCTGGGATTTCCCCAAGCCTTACACTTCTAAAGGGGTGTGGCCATGAGTTCTGAGCCCTCACCCTGTCCTGGTTGGGTTAGGAGTGCAGGAGGACCCCCATTTCCTGGGTCAGAGCTGATTGTAGGAGCCCCTGATAGGGGTAGTTCTGCCCAGGATTCCTGTGGGGAGGGTGGGCGCACGGAAGTGAGCAGTGTGCTGGGGCATGGGGCACCCAGCAAGAGGGCCAGGCTCTGGGAGGGGGAGGGGGGGGCACCCTGCTGTACCCTGCCTAGGCCAGGCCTGCCCCACAGTCTTGTGGGCTCTGGAGCCTGTCTCCTTTCCAGCCTCACCCACTCAGCGTTCAGCTGGCTTATTGTAGTACTTTTTTCTTAAATCGTGTTTTATCTTCAATTACAGGTGACACACGATTCTATTAGTTTGAGGTGTACAGCCCCATAAACCCAGCACCAGCCTAGTGATTAGAGTATTGCTGACAGTCCCTCGCTGTGCATCCCATGACTGTTATGTAAGCAGCAGGGACTTGGGCCTCAGCTGCTTGTTGGATGTTGGGGTGACATCTGCATTTACACCAGCTCAGATTCCTCAAGGTTGGGGGCGGAGCACACTGCCTGTGAGGCTGCTGGAGGAGAGACCCCTCCATAGGCCTGGGCGCCCCACCCTGACCTGGTGGCCTTTTAGGTAACCCCCAAGCCCGTGCTCTGGGCGCTCCTGCTGGCGCTGCTAGGAACCGCGCTCCCCGCCCAGCCCCGCGCCTGCAGTGTCCCCGACGTGCTGCGCCACTACCAGGCTGTCATCTTTGAGGACCTGCAGGCTGCCGCGAGGCGGGCAGGGCCGGGGGACGCAGGGGACGGGCCAGGCTCCAGACATCTCCATTTCGTTCAGAAAAACCAGACTGACGCCGTGGCCCCTGGACGGCGGAGTCGGGTGGGGCCCTCCTGTGGCGACCAGAAGGTGAGGAGAGGCCCCGCCCACGCCCTCCAGCCTCCTTCCTGGCGTTTCCCATCGGGCTCTTCCCCCAGCCCCGCCATTTCCTCCCTTTCCTCCCCAGGAGCACAGTATTCTAGTGTCCATCGCGGCCCTGGGGCGGGCCCTGCGC